ACTTTTTGTTGTGTTTTTGTTACCTTAAAGTGAGCCATTTTTATCTACAGAGGGAGAAGGTCCGCCATGTTGAACCACCATGTTTCTATAGTAGCCCAGAATGGATAAACCAAACACTGGCTCTAGATAGGGCCTTGACATTTTTTGTGGCCACCGTACTTTCTCTTACATGTGTTAAATTTATTTAAAAATTATTCCGTTGGTTGCAATCTGCCACTTGACTGTTTGATGTCACTTGACCTCAGTCTTGACTTTTTTCACTGAATTGGCCCAAAAGAGATGACAGTACCCTAATTTCATACTAACCCTAAACACAATATAACCCTAATCCTATGTCTTTATACAGAAATGCAGTTGTTTAAGTGTACCTCACTAGTATTGCTATATGCAAGGTTTAAGGAATACCAAGGTCCAAAAACTGAACTTGCATGCAATGGTTTAGGGTCTAATTAATTGTATACCCCTTGAAAAAAAATACCTGTGATCTCAATGGTGGGTATGAAGTGCCTGTACCCAATACTCATGAGTACTGGCCCATTTCAGGCAGTGATGCCACAGAATCCTGCACACTGGTTCTTTAACACAGGTTTAATGTGTCAGTATTATGCCTACCCCTCAGCTCAGTGTGTGCTGCCTATTACTTTCCTCTGTTCAGCTGCTCATGCATTGTTGAAGCATGTACACTCACACACAAACACACACATATGAGTATGCACAAAAAAATGCATTTGCACATGTAGGTCTACAAACACACAGCCTCATTTAGGTCACTTCCTGCTCTGATTGAAATCAGCTTCAACAGACCATCTAACAAAAGAGCTATTAGCCCAGACTGCCACTGCCAGTTCATTAAAGTAACACTTATGGGAAATGAATTAAGCAGCTGAGCTGAAACAATAAGCTACCACACAGTCCATTAACAACAGCTACCTGCAAATGAACTAACCAACTGAGAGAATTTACCCTCTGTTTCAAAGCGCAGCTGAGTGGTGATTAAGGTATAGAATACACTTTATCACAAGGAGCTGTTGGTTAAACTGACTGTGTTATTTTCATCAGGTAAATCTTTTGCACTTTATGGGCTTTAAACAAACCTACCCTGTCAATGTTGAGGTTGTGTTTAGGAAAATCATGTGGCACAGTGCAATTCTGGTAGCCTAGTATACCAGGGACACAAGTTGTGGCTGGAAATTGTTTAATATCTTTTGTGTTCTTGCTTGTGTGAGCTGTATTAGCATCCACAGATCCACACTCCTCGTCATCTGCATAGGTGTCACCATGCTGTCTCACCAGGTCTACTCTCCTTTTCTCTTGTAGAGTCCAACTGTCTTCCAAAGATGAAGATAAAAAGATAGAAGATAGATTTGTGTTGCCGTTGTTGGACATGTTTAATGTACCGGCCTCGCACCACGGTGCTCTTGACGCTCCTGTTGCACACCCTCACGTTGACCTGTTACTTTTCTCAAGAGTGGAAACGTTGTTAGCAGCAAAGCTTCCATGAACTTTAAAATCAGACCATCGGCCGGTATATAGTACATTTACATCTATCCAGGGATCCGTGTACCAATGTAGTTCCAACTATAACGTCAAAACCGATTTCAGTAAATCTGTACACCCCTAATGACAGTGTATTCTTTCTGATGCCACCCCGTAGCGCCACTTGACTGTGATCTGTCCCACTTTAGAGGTGATTATTATTATCAAATTAAAAATACTATTTCCTCTGGGAAGCATCAGCCCATTACATCACACATGATGTTGTGTGCAGGTGAGAGCTTTGGTGCAGTTTAGTGTATTATCAGACACATTGTGTAATGCATCTTCAGCTGTGTTTGGAATGATTCTCAGTAATGTTATCGAGGAATGTCATCACTGTGTGTACTGTTTTGCGCTCAGCTCCTTGTCCAGCTGCAGGAAGACGTCATACGTCCCGCATCTTCTTCTTCAGAAAATGTTTATAGAAAACATGTGCTCTGATATCCAGAACATCCAAGATTTTGTGAAACGTTGCTCGGGGTCAGCAGCAAGCAGCAGCACTCACTATACACCAAAGTAAACATTAGTGCTTTATCCAAGACATCAGCACCAAACTACTGGTTGCATGCCTCAACTACATCCAGCTTCTGCATCCTGAGTCTTCAACAGTGATGTATGTATACACAGTATAGACAGTTAGAAGCAGAGTTCAAGCGTTACGTCCCCAACTTCATATCAGGTTATTCTCATGGCAGCAATGTACAAATAATCTTTGGATGATTTAAATTGCAAATGTCTTGTGTATGTCTATTTTCTGTTCCCCTGAGCAAGTTTATATTTAGGTCAAACAATTTAAAATCATACTTTTTCATTTCATGCTGTGTTTAAATGCACATAAATGTATGTTTTTATGAGGATTATGTTAAATTAAAATCTGCCTTTGGAAACAGTGTTTTCATATTAGACGACCTGGCTCAAAAGTATTTTCGTAATAGATGTACTTCTGTCTTGTCCCTCAGTCCTATACTGCAATTACATTTTTAGCCTCACTAACAGGAGGGCTATGTGGATGGATTTGTTCCAGGCTTAAATATAAATTCCCTAACAGGATGAATTGTGTACTTTGTAGGGATATACCAATATTTGGTCCAGCCAATTATCAGCCTTTTTCTGATCTACTGATATTGTTATTTATTTTAACCTATTGCTGATCAAATAATTACATTTAAAGATGTGCTACTTTGGCTACAGCATGTAATTTAACTTATACTTAAAGTACTCAGATCTTTAAGTAAATAGCCATACCTCATTGTAAATATAAAGTAGGATAAAATGGAAATACTCAAGTACAGGTACCTCAAGATTCTACTTACATACAGTACTTAATTAAATGTATTTAGTTAAACTCTGTCACTGGTTATTCTAAATTTATCCACTCACATTTTATTTTTTACTGTAAATCTGTTCCGAATACTGGTTATTGGGTTCCTTGATTACTAATTATTGGTATCTGTATCAGCCCTAAAACCAAAAGAAAAAGTACTGGCAAACCCCTAATACTTTATGTTAGTACTAATAGTTTGTTTGCAGTTACGTGATTCCAATGATGTATGAAAAATAGAATTGCTTTTTCATTAAAATAACAAAGCAAACTTACAGATTATCATATTACACTACATAAAGTGTGGTCTACTTGTTATTTGGACACAATATTAAAATCTCAAAATTAACTTATAATTGATTTATTATTTTACAGTGACACACAAAGCAACCTCTAGGTCCAGTTTAAACAAGCTCAGTCAAATCACTTTTCAGCAGTGATTTATGGTCCCACACTGAACAAGCAGCCTCAGAAAGAGCCCCTAACTGAGTGAAAAAGCATGCTGTAAAGCTCAGTCTGACCACACACACACATACACACAGTATTCCTCTGGTCAGACCGCATAACAAGCCAATTAAAAATCACCGCATGCTAGTAACTCCTTCTCTTTGACCACAATTATACTCTGGAGACCAGTACACACACACACACA